GCTTCTCCTCATAAGTCATGTGCCCCAGCCCCCTAATCATTTTTGTTGCCCTCTGCTGATCCTCCAGTGCTGTGGTCCTATTAAGCCCTGTCTACACTGGGCTTCAAAAAGAGAATGCTTTTGGTTTAAACCATTCCAGGGGTATCTTAATACTTGGTTCTGTATTGGCGAACCCAGATCCATTCAGTGGGTGCAACTATATTTAAGTAGAGTTTAAGACAGGGATTCTCAAACTGGGGGTCAGAACCCATCAGGGGGGTCGCAAGGTTATTACATGGGGGGGTCGCGAGCTGTCGACCTCCACTTCAAACCCCGCTTGCCTCCAGCATTTATAATGGTGTTAAATCTATTTAAAAGGGTGTTTAATGTATTAGGGGGGCCGCACTCAGAGGCTTGCAATGTGAAAGGGGTCACCAGTAAAAAAGTTTGAGACCCACTGGTTTAAGAAACCCTGTGAAACTGGGCCTGGAGCCAGATGTCGCTGGAGGCTTAAAGAGCTTTACTGTACATTTCTCCTTTGAGTCACCTTGCCTGGGTTTAGTGTGATGAAAAGGTGACAATGGGCCAGGGCCTGCTGCCTTTTCACCTGAGCAGAGCAAGTATTAAGTCAGATGTTCTTTGCATGGGAGGACATTGTGTCCTGTTGCTAAGTGAGCTTAACCGCTGAAAGGATTTGATCCTCCAGTCTATTCCCCTCATGGCCTCTCCATCGAGAAGCAAGAGCTATGTACTCTGCAGCTGCCATGGTACAGGCACATAGATTGACGCCTGGAAGATCACATGCCCAGACACACTTAAACTACTGAGCTTCTTGCATGATCACATGGAGGTTAGACATTGAGTAGCTGCAGTAACATGTTAAGTCACATTGCAGAGTGGCACCCAGGCTACCAACCATCGCTTTGCGGACTGACCAAGGCAGCTGCGTGCTTGGCAAGAAGGGTCCAGCTCTATGCGTGTGACCATGATGTCCACTTCAGAGTTTCAACATCACACAGGGCATTTCACAAGGATTTCTTGATTGGTGACCACCCCTGGGCATCGTGAAGTTAGGGAAGGAAGACTAAATAAAGGGGAAAACCCCTTTGGAAGATGGGAGCTACTTTTGGGGGGTGGAATTAAGGGGGTGTAGTCAAAAGCCGTTTGGATGAGCTATGGACCTGCCATGCTTCCCCACACACCTGAATGGAGCTGCCTGGTGCTGTGGTGTGTGAGCACAGCTGTCCAGCTTGGGGCCTGCAGTTCCAGGCACGTGTCCGCGTAGAATCCCTTTTACCACACTGCTGCCGCAATGACCATCTGTTTTGTTGTCTTTGTTAAGGTGGCCTCTGCCAGGGCCTAAAGACCAAGTCACCAGCGAAGACCTCACAAACGCAGCCCTGTTCAAATCCCCTAGATCTGGCCCTTTTAACCTCCGTCCTCTGGAGCATCGCTCTGTCCGGGCTCGTCTCTGAACCTCTGCCTGCTGGCTAGCTGCACTGGCTGGAATGATGAAGTGTCCCTAGGTTGGTGCCTGCCACCACTGCCTCCTGGGAGTTGTCGTTTCCTGATGTCTACCATTAGCCTGATACAGGAGAACGAACCACAACTTCCAAGAGGAGGCTTTGCTGCACAGGTCTGGAGCAAACGGCCACAGTGGAGCTAGTTGGCTTTGGGGGCAATGGAGACTCTGCTACTGGATTCCTCTGATCAGGAACCTTTTAAAAACATTCTCACTTGCTGAAACAATAAACCAACCCTGCATTCTGCCACCATCCTGCTTTGTGAGCCATGAATGCCCTGCCCTTGACGGGACCGGGCTGCTGGCAGCATTACCCCATGCTCGCCTGCTTTGTTTGAAATATAAACAGTGCTCAGAAACGTAACAAAATCAGAGCTCTAGGAAGCTGCCTTCTCCCAGCCTGTGCTTCCAGGATAGCTGGGGTCAGCCACAAAAGAGATTTCACTATCACGCCAAGCCTCACGAGCCCTGTGTAACTGCTGGTTATCATGGGGCCCTGCCACGAGACGGAATGGGCCCCAGGAGCATTGCTGGAGGTCAGACCAGCTCTACAAAGACAGGAGCCTAGCCCAGGCTGGGGATTTCTTGGAACTAGGTGAGCCATTGGCTGCAATGTTAGTGACCCTGCAGGGCTTAGTGTTGGCTCCTAACATGTGTCCAGCACTCCAGTTTCGGCTGAGCCATGAACTCTCAAGTCCCTTCTAGAAAAGATCTTAATGCCTCTAGCTTGAGGTACCAATTAGCCAGTATTTATTTAAACTTGGCAGCAGCGTCTCCTGGGAGGGGCTGGCTAACTGCTTACAAAGGTGCCTTGTACCAGCTGGGGCTGTATTTTGAGTCATCCTCACACTCCTGGGGTTAAATGAAGCTGGTTCGGTTAATGGGGAGGGGAAGCCAGGGCAGGGATATTTGTAAATTAACACATAAAACCCTGACCTGAGCCCGGTTTACAGTTCATGCGAGCTGTTAGCAGTGAGCAGAGCCAAAGGACAGAGTGCCATCCGGCTCCCACACTAATTCAAATGCAAAGGAAGGTTGGTTTGTTTGCACATGTTGTTTTTAAAAAAGCTCCGCGGCACGCCTGTTCGGGCCTGGCAGCACCCGGCTGGGAAACACTGCCCTGTGAAACACAAACCCTTCTTCTGAAGGGCTGGCTGGGGTGCCAGATCAGAACCCCCCCAGTGCCCTTGTTACTAACGATATCAGTGTAAATCTGCTACGCTCAGGCCGATAAGAGCCATTATCAAACAGGGCAAAATAAACTATTGCAAAACCCCCAAAACCAAATGAAAGTTATACTGCGTTGTGTACATCACTTAGGCAAAGGAAAGCCTCCATCTCCCGCCCGATAGCAGGTGCCCTGAGCCTTTCTGACTCAGCAGAAGTGGGTCCTTCATAGTCTGCGGGAGGGGAAAATAGCAGCATCTCCCTGAGAGGGAAATTGAGAGCGTGTTATTTCTCTAGAACCCCTTTTAATGTCACTGGCTTCTGGACCTGAGCTGCCCTCCCCAAATCGGGCCCAACGCCACTAGTCTGTTCCTGAGGCCAGCGAGCACGTTTCGATGGGTTGCTGCCCTGTATGCCACTGAGCAGGAGCACCAGATGTTCCCCAGCTGCACTGCACACACAAAGCAGGAATCAGGCAGAGGCAGAACAATCCACATGTGAGAGAACACCGCAATGGCCTTATCATGATAGTTCTACCCAACACCAGGTGGCTTCCAGGGCTGGCTGCGAGTTGGCAAACTGAGCAATTCTGGTCTCGTCTGGAGGTTTCTGCATGCAGAGAACTGGGTTCTCCACCTGAAAACAGGAGCATTTTGAGTCCTGGGGAGAGGGGCGAGAGCAGGAAGAATCACTTGCCTGTCCCAACAAGTGATCCCTTTAGAACACTGTTCTCTGTGGAAATGCCACAGGGCTCCACCCCAAGCTTAGTCCTGGATCTGCACCCCCCACCACTGCAGGGAGAGCGATTAGACATCCAGGGCACTGTCTGTGGGCAGGACTGCTGGCCCAGATGAATCATCAGGGCTCCGATAATAATGCCTTTGACCCTGTACTGGGATCCTTCTTTCCTTTGGTTTTATGCAACCTTCCCTTTGTTTTTTGTCCTGCAGCAGCCAGTCAGTGCCCAAGCGCTGCCGCTGCACCTGGTGCAGATTATGTATTAATATTGGTATCGCTTTAATCTAGAACACAGATACGGTGGCGCAAAGACTATAGTGCTGTGCACCCAGATAACACACCCTTCCGCCCTGAGTAGCCCGGCAGCTAAATGAGACCAGACCAGCTGGCAGGCAGACAGGAATTCCAGCCAGTGGTTATCTCCAGGCCCAGGGTGAGCCAAGGTCTCCTTCGCCCATCTCATTAGCTACAAGTGCGCCGCAGCTTTCTGTCTGAGCCTCTGTCCATCATATCGCACCGGTCCGAGTGAACTGTTAGCCCTTCAGTGCTGGGATCTGTCTCTATCCCACACAAACATCTTGGTTAACTTGCACGCAAGGCTCCTCACATGCATTTCCTACCAGTGCAGTCATTGAAAGCCCAGGAAATTGACAGCTAAGCCACAATTCCCTTGCCTTGGCTCCTATCCACCCTAATACCCAGACACTTCTCCTGCTCCTGACCAACCAACAGAGGGATCCCAGTGCGAATCTCTGCAGCCTGAGCTCTGGGGTCATAGCTGACGTTTCCGTGATACTGGGGAGGGAGGGAGCACAATGCGGGCATAAGGGGAAGGAGAAGCAGTAGGATCAAAGCTCAGAGCAGTGGAAGCTGCATGTTTCTATTGGATTAAAATTCAAGGAGGAAGAGAGCTACTAAGAGACGTCCCCCAAGGCCCCAACTCCATTGCTGTGTCCTGAGAAGGGCTGGGAGCTCCACACTAGGCCAGAGTCGTTTTGTTCTTTGCCAGTAGCAACAGAGGAATTCAACTATCCCCATATTGACTGGGACATGTCACCTCAGGCCGGGATTCTAGACACCATTAATGGCTGCTTCTTGGAGCAGCCAGTCCTGGAACCCACAAGGGAAGAAGCAATTCTTGATTTAGTCCTAAGTGGTGCACAGGATCTGGTCCAAGAGGTGAATATAGCTCAACCGCTTGGTAATAGTGACCGTAATGTAATTAAACTTAACATCCGGGGGGGTCGGGGGGAGAATATCAAAGAAACCCACTGCAGTAGCATTTAACTTCAAAAAAGGGAACTACACGAAAATGAGGTGTCTAGTTTCAATGGAAATTAGAAGGAACAGTCATGAGTGAAAAGCCTGCAGGCTGCTCGGAAACTATTTAAAAACACCATAATAGAGGCACAAACTAAACGTGTACCACAAATTAAAGAAAACAGCAAGAGGACCAATAAAATGCCACCACGGCTAAAGAGCAAAGTGACAGAGGTGACAAGTTTTAGGTAAGTTCACGTAGAAAACGTCTATCAATGGCTATTAGGCAGGATGGTCAGGGATGCAGCCCTACACTTCGGGCGACGGGATGGATCACTGGATGATTCCCTGTTCTGTTCATTCCCTGTGAGGCATTGGCCACGGTGAGAAGACAGGACACTGGGCTAGACGGACCATTGGTCTGACCCCTCCTTAGGAGGTGGAATCTCCCCCCCCGGCTTTTTCTCTTCTGTTTCTCCTATGTCTGCCGTGGGGATGGCAGGGATTTCAAACTAGACCGTGCCAGGTTGGACACATTGCTCTGATGCAGCCCAAGGCAAAGGCTCCCCTAACCCCTGACTAGGAATTACTGTGGCAGGAGCTTTCTCTGTCCGCTCCTCAGGCCCTGCTCCTGGACTCCCAATCCCCTCTGCTTCTGCATGCCAGGGGAGCCCCGACTCAGTACAGATCAAAGCAAACAATGGCTACCCAACCTGAGCAGCCCTCTGTGCTTCACACAGAGAGAAATTGGTTTGAATTGTAAGGGCCCCATCTGCCCAGCTGAACTGTCCCCTGCCTCCCCCGCCTCCCAGTCAGCTCTGGCAGTGGGGAGGGTCAGCGTCCCCAGGGCCTGGGCTCAAAAATGCTGCACAGGGCACGGGGCCCTGGCTGAAACAAAGGCAGGGATCAGTGTTAGTGTCAGGAACCTGGGTCCAGCGCCCTTTGCCTCCAGCCCCCTGGCTGCTTTGGGAGCCACACCCTTGCATCATAATCACCCCCTTCAAAGGGGCCTGATCCTGGGGTCACTCTGGCAGTGCAAAGGCTGCAACTTGCTAGCATAAAGCCAGCTGATCTCGCTCCTGCACCAGCAGCCTCCCGGTGAGCAGGCCTGCCTGGGAAGGGGGCTCCCTTAGGGGCCATGCACTAGTGCAGTAAGTTAGAGCACCCCCATGGCTGCTGTGACTCACCCCAGAACTGGGCTAGTCCAGAATCAGGGAGCTGTAAGTGCCCCACCCCACCCCTGAGTGGAGCGCAGCAGCAGGCGGAACGAGCTCTCAGCCTGAGAGCGAATGCTGCCGAGAGCCTTGCAGTTAAATGTAACAACCCCGCCAGTATTCGGGTCCACGGCAATCTCTAGCCTTCTAGCGCCCCCACCTCGCCCTGCCCCGCCCCGGGGCTGCTGCAGCACCAGGAAACAGTTTGCCAAGAAAATAACTGTAGAGACCAAGCAACAGGCTTATGTGGCCAGGGGCATTTGGCTTTTTTGCAAGACATCCCGGGAGGGTGTTGTCCTTGTCAAGTTGCCTCCACAGAGCTTCTCCCAGGCCCCTGCAATATTATTCTGGGCAGAAAACAGGTCTGTTCTTCCTTCCCCAAGAACACAGTGTCCTGTAATCTGAGCCGAGGCAGCTGTGCAGTAAAAGCCTCACAGCCCTTCACAGGGAGGTGTGAGCCCAGCTCCCCAGGGCGCACACCCCGATGGGAGCAGCACCAGATGGGCACAGCACAGCTGCCCAGGCGCCAAGACCTGCCGTCCTCACGGGCACAGCCCCAGTGAAGTCAGGGAAATCTGCCTGAGTCCAGACCGCAGGACTTGGCCTTCGGTCAAGTATCTTCCCTTTGGTGCTGCCACGCTCTGTATTTCAGGTGACAGGGCTCGGCTTTATACCTTCGTTTCACTATCCCTGATATGAGCAGAGTGTCTGATTTACATTTGAGCGAGAGGAGGCTGGGGCTGGATTTCCCTGTCGGGGTTAATGCGCTCTGCAGCCCTGGGAACCCTCTGCTAAAGCACAACCCCTCGAGGGGGAAAGGGGTGAGAACCAGCGTGGGCCAAGCTGGGGGAAACGCGGAGAGTAAAACAGAGTA